GCACATAGATTCAATTCAAAAAACGATCAATCAGTTACACTTCCCTCGTTAGATAAGTATAGATCCTTAAATTTAAAGATAACAAGGAACAAAATTAAAGACTTACGAGGGAACATTCCCAACTGTTAATCGCCGATCGAAGTGATTTTTTGCCCATAAGCAGGACTCAATGAGACGAGGAAAAGCCTAAAAGGATTCGTCCCCATAGGCCTTCCTTCTGGAGTTATGACCATTTTACGAACTTTCCGGCTTAAGGCAAGCTATTCATAAAAAAGTCAAAAAGAAGGAATTGTCATCTGAAGTTTTGCCCATAAGTAGGTCTTATGATCTTTATGACATCCTGGAAGTTTCAGTCAAAATGGATGGTTCCTTCTCGAGATATAGAATGCTAAAGAAAAATCGTTTTTATGATCTTTTTTGTAACATATGATCGTTCTTTTGAATATTCAATATCTCAAGAAGGAACCATCCGTTTTGACTGAAGCTTTTAGGATGTCCTAAAGATCATAAGACCTACTTATGGGCAAAACTTCAGGTAGCAATTCCTTCTTTTTCAATTTTTTATGAATAGCTTGCAATAAGTCCGAAAGTTCGTAAAATTGTCATAACTCCAGAAGGAAGACCTATGGAGACAAATCCTTTTAGACTTTTCCTAGTCTCACTAAGTTCTACTTGTGGGCAAAACATCACTTCGATCGACGATTAACAGTTAGGAATGTTTCCTCGTTAGATTATGTCCAGTGCAAAAATTCTTTATTTTCAAAATAAAATTGCCTCTAGGTTTGGATAAGAAAAAAATTTAATTACCATTTTTATGAGAGTATGATATAGCTAAAACTCATCGGATATACCAATTTGTCAAAAATAAAATTTGATAAAAATCACTACACATCGAGGCTATACGATGTACATCAGTTGAGTAGATCCTAGCATTTCTATCAATTAGTATTTTCCTATGTTCAACATTCTATCAATTAATTTTTTTTGTCTGTAGAAATACAACCGAATGAACACTACTCGTATATTCATCTATAGGATTGCCTCCAGCATGGAACTAAGTAGATGAGCTAGACATATCTTCCCCAGTTTAGAATAGCTTGAAAGATCACTTATTTTTATTGACTTAATGTGTGCATTCTTTGTCTATATTGTAACAATAGCTGAGAATTTCCTATAAATAAGATTCATCGAGTTTAATAAATGATCGAATTCTAAACTCGATCATAAGCGAATTGTAATAATATTTTACTAATTTTGAAGATTTAAGAAATGTTTACGACATAAAGAAAATCCTTAAACATGTTTGCAAATTATTGAAAGATTCGAATTTTTTGTCCTATAGATTTAACATTTATAATCTATTGTATTTTATGAAATAATTATTTAAAAAAAAATATCTTTAATTTCACATACTTTCGATTTTGAATACATAATATTATCAAATACTGATTTAGTATCTTCATTTTCTACTCGTCGTTTCATATCAGCAAATAAATATGAATTAAAATCATTCTCAAATTTCGATCTATAAATAAATATCAACTTTGTAAAAATTTCTATTCAATTATTTTTAAAACTTACGATGAACTTTTTAACAATGCTCGAGTATCAATTTTGATATCAATCGTACGTTGATGATAATTATCAGGACTTTTTATACGTATATTAGGTAAAATATTAATAATTTGTGCAAGTAATGTATCTTGTTGATGAGATGATGGTGTTGCTAAATCTAAATGACGATCAATTAATAGTAAAGCTATTTTATTTTCACCAGACTAGAATAAAAGACGATAAAATTTAAAAGATGAAAATAATAATTAAATCTAATACTCGTCGTCTCTGTTTGATATTTGTCATTTGTGTATATTCACGAGCAATAATATGACTCAATGGACCAAGTACAAAAATATCTTCACGTGCATTTATACTTAACATTAAACTATTTAACATTTCAGCATGTATCTATATAACAGATAATTTGTTTGTGAGTCAAGAAAGACAAAGTTTCTTACTCGAATTGTTTTTATTTCATCTCTTTGAAGTATAATATCTAATGATGTCATCTAAATGAAAATTTAAAAGAATGAGGAAGAGTTCGTTTGTTTCTGTTTACTTTAATTTTTTCATTAGTAAGTGAAGTTACAGTTTCAATATTTGGCAATCGATATGAAATAAGTGTTGGTATTAAAAAGAAAGAATCCGTTATGGAAATAAATGGAAATTGTAAAGATTTTCTTTGTAAGATTTCATATAGGTTTTCTTCTAATTCATTTTTATCATCATCAATTATTGATGGTGAACTAGTTAATAATGTAATTGAATCGAAATTTTCTTCCGTACATATATCATTCAAACGAGATATTGGTATTGATTGATTCAGAATGATAACTAGATTTGAATGTTTATTATTTTCGAATAATTTCTTTAAAAAAGAAAAGGAAATAGATGTCATTCGAAAATATTTATTTATTTTACCTGGTCATTAATGTTTTTTATAGTTGGACGATTTCTTGAACAAAATAAATGTCCGATTATGTTTGTTACACGAAACCATTCCAATGTGATTGTATCAACTAAAACTAAAGCATTTGAACAAACTTTACATAATGAATTTATATGATTTGTTTGAATAGTTGATAATGATATTGAAGTCGACATATAATATAAATTATTAGTATTTTATTGTATTATTATTAAAAATGAATATCATAATTTTTAGATCGGCTATTACTCCTTTTAACTTATGGAATAGAACAACCAACGGAAGGTATCCGATCGGAGATGTCGCCTTTGCTCATTTCGGTTTAGTCTTGGATGTGGTCATTCTCAGTTAATTAATAAATGGAAATAGGAGTAAGTCAAAAGGAATAATTTCAGGCTTGGCTATAGTAGATTTACATATAATGGAATGAAGGATGCAAAAATCGAACATCTACAGCAGGTTCGACTTGGGTCGGATCAGGTCAAATGTCTGAATATTTTTTTGAGAAATAAAACTCATTTTAATGTTTTTCATTTCAAAGTCGAGTAAGATTGCGAGAAAGCTAGATACAATGAACAAGCATACATCATATATACCCATTCATTCTATTTCACTATTTTCCTTTTATTAATGTTGTACAGAGATACATAGCCAGTACATCGTATTTTAAAAGTTGATATGAAAGCCATAGATTGTATCAATAATATAATGAAAAATTAGAAAGACTTATCACTTAATGTTGCTGCGTTAACTATGCAATATTGACGAAATAAGCTGAACGTTAGAGTCAAGGGCATATCCTTAGTATTCAACTATGTAATAAAACAAAACAAAAACAGCTAATAAAGTCAATGCCTTAAGAAAAGACGAAAAGTGATCTATACGTGTACATAAATCTGTCGGTGTTGAGTTCGGTCTAGTTGAGTCACAAAAAATTTAATTGATCTCGAGTCGGGTCGGGTGACAAAAATTTGACCCATATGGAACACTAATCTACAGGTATCTTTGAAAATGTAAGCAATATTCAGAAATATTTAAACTCGAACTTAACAGAACCATGGAGCACTTGTATTGTTGCCCCGCGTATCTTAAGAGACACTTGGCCAATTACTTAAGAATTCGACACTGTCTGAACTAGTTGGATAGTTTCAGAACTCGAACGCGAAACACTTGTCCGGAAATTCAAATTAGAGTTCGATTCGGTGCATGTCGCGACAGACCGAATTTCTATAATAATTATGACTTCTCATTTCAGCTGAGTTCTGTAGGGATGTAACCTCCTGTTGTCCTATTCTACGAGATGACTACTGTTTTGTATCGTGCGAAGATCATACTTAGAACGAAAATGAGATAACTGCCATTCTTGATGTATTACTTATAATGCTGTGTCACCTATGGTTAAGTTATCCGGCGTAAACTATTAGTCAGGCTATAAAACGTTTCTCATATATTAATATAAAAAGTTATTGTGTCCCATTGGAACATTATCACTCATATGTTTTTTCTAGTCTAATCTTTACAAAAGCATGTCTTTGTAACTAAAAGTTTTTAAACAATTGATATCTTCTTTTATCTTTGTTGTTGTTTCATAAAACAATATTTTCTGTCGTTAGTATTAATCTCTGATTTTATAGATTATCGTCTTGTACCAACAAATAGAGACATACAGTATCAAGAGAAATTTCAGATCAAGTAAGAGATATATATGTTATAAATTGTAAGAATTTTATAAAAATAGCTAATGATATTTTTACTGAATGTCACTAGATGCATAAATGGTAGAATCATGAAACTTAAGAAGGCTAAAATATGGTCATTTTTTTTGCAAAACACAGCGAGCTTCACACAGTATATCGACAGACCGCAGAAATGAACTTTTTTGTAATAAGAAAATTATTCATTTATACGAGACTCAGAAAAAATTCTCAAAAACATAATTCTCGATTTTGATTTTCGAAAAACTCATTTCTCAAATTGTTCTGTAGCGTATATGAAACAGAAAAGAAGAATGAATTAGAAACGATATCGGCAGTAATCAATGCTTCATAAAAATTTGCCACCGTTGTTATACATTACTTACGTTCCTACTCAAGTATTGAAATATTTTGAACAAATGTTCGCTGTCTCTTCATTTTTAAGACGACAAAATAGAACAAACGGCTTTCGTTCTACTGAACTAATAGTTTATGAGTAAAGTATGTCGAGAGAAGTAACAAATGAAATCGGTACCAGAGATCAAGTCGATTCGATTTGCAGTTTTTCAAATCGATCCTATCTCTGATCGGTAACTGTCACCAATTCGTATAAAATATTTCTGGTTCAAAATAATTATCTTTTACTGAGAATCACTCATAAGCAGTGCATACTATCATCTGATATTGATGCTCAGAATCAAAACTTTTTCTCCTATTCGAAAATACCCGAGTTCTTCTACATACAACATACTGTGCAAAATTTGTTTCAAAAAATTCTACTAAATCGGAAGAGTCAAAAAGTATATTAATATTTTGAAACCATAATTTATTCAAATATCTTACATGGACAACTTTTGACTGTTTCATTCGATTGCTCTTGTATACTTCACTGGACATGTACCGAGACTAAAATTTGGTTTTTGCAGTTTTCTCTGTAAAAGAAATATTAAAATCGAGAAAATAATGGATCCGTCAATATTTGAAGTACTTGAAGATGTAGAGCAAACAGTTTTCTACAGAATGAGATAATGACGAGATTTATATTTGAATTGTATCGCATTGTTTTTGACAAGAACATCCTCGAAGAAAAATCGAGTAACCCTCAACATATGTCCACAATTCGCGTAGTATAACAGTTGGCATTTATTTCTCTTAGTACTTTTCTTATAAACAATTTATTTTTTAGTGAAGTTTAATAAGATTTAAAGATACTCGTATTTGACAGTACTTTGTGTTATGCGACTTTATCAAATTATTGTCATTTGTTAACTAAAGAATATCTTGTCTACTCTAGATTGACATATTTCTGTGATCTTAACTGAAGAATTTTGGTTTTTGTCTCAAGTATAATCATGTCCATAATGTGACACATGAAAAATGATATTGACAATTTGTCATTTTTACTTAACGAACTGACGATCTATCTTATGAAATTGTCGAATAACTAAAAATTATTTAGTAACTTACGTGCCAGATATGCAATATATTGTATAAGTGTTGAGTAATATCTGAAAAATGAATATTCACTATATAAATGATACTGTTTTTTGTCCAAAATTAATTTGATATTGTTGAAATTTATCGACAAAAAAGAGTTTCTTTATTTCACATAAAACAGCGAAGTTTAAATCAACCTCTAAAGTCTCAAGTTTTCGATTAGTTTAGTCGAAGAAAAGAAGTCTAAATACAACACGAAACTTTATTTTTTGCTTTTCTCGAAATCATTTTTTACACAAAAATACTGTAGAATCGTCTCCATTTCTTCGACGTAGTGCGTTCGATCAAGCTGAAACCTTTTTTTACAGATATTAGACACTGTTTGAAGATCCTACACGTTTTTTGTTTCGAAAAGTATAGCACCATTGATATTTTGGCAGATTTTATACACAAAAAAAAACTTGTAATTCTAGAGGTACGCTCAGCATTTTGATCTTCTTATTCAAAATGGAAAGAAATAAAAAAAGACAGTAGGTATCCCAAACACTATCTACAAATAATAGTCATTAGCTATAAAATTAATCAACAGTGAAGTTTCACGAGTATTTTAAAGCAACGGTGGTGCTTTTAATGAAAATATCCTAGTTGAGATCAATCAAGTAAAAAGAACATAGTTTTAGTATGACCAGTTATATTGTTACAAATTTTTCAACATAATCGTTTGTTCTCTTAGTTAATGTAAATGATCCAGAATTAGGAAATTCATCAAATAAAATAATTAAATGTAAATCCAAGAGCACAATTTGAGTACACGTATTTTTGTTCGACAATTTTAGCGAATGGGGTTGTAATTTAGTTTTGTAATTAAAGTTTGTATAAAATTGATCAAATGCTGTTTTATAAATACGAAAGGAATCGAGATGTAATATTAGTATTTCGAATAATTTGATTAAAATCATAATTTAGTGTAGTCGTGAATCTCGTTAATTTACTGACAATCAAAAGAATCAAAACACTATATGTTTTAACTCTTCAGTCATATAATAAATATACGTGTATGAATTGTTATTATTGTTGTAGTTATATATTATTATGATTCATATATAGTAAATTATGTCTTATTTGATGAGACGAAAAAATTCTTGGACAATTTTCAAGAACAGATAGTTGATTATTAGCTCTATTTAGGGAAAATAGAACATTTTCTTGGATTTATTTTCTGATATATCTTTTTTCATGTACTAGAGTAATTGAGAAAATGATATTTTTTAAATTATCAAAGACAGAAAAGAAAAGATGATAGATAATATAAATACATGAATTCCTGGTTTTAGTCAAACTAGCTTGATGAGATTCGGTTTGATTCATATTGCAATGTTTACAAAATTTGTGATATATTAGACAGTTATATTCTCAATTTTTATTTATATAATCCACATGAAATATTTGCTAAAAAAAAATAAGTAAGATCTCGTACTGTCCTTAATACTGGATAAATTCATTGTTTACAAAAGTACTCGTTTAAACAATGCTGTCTCAAAAATCATCTTAACAAAGCAGACTATGTGTATGTTAGATGAATACAGGTCAGATGACTCATCGAGAAAAATTATTTGCAAAAATCACTACTATTATTCTTGTAGCAATGGCTATCATATGTTCTATTGAATAATTGTTTCCGTGGACTTTATTCATATATAAATAGAAGCAAACTATTGATTGCTTTACAAATGGAAAAGCAAGCATGACTATCTGAAGGTGCTTTTTGATCGATCATGAGTGAATATTTATTTGTACATACGTTTCTATGATCAAACATCAAATGTAGAAGATTATTGACTTGTAGTTAGATTCATTGAGCTTCTTGCTTACTACCATATAGCATCTAACATGACAACAACAACAACAAAAAAACAATCAACTTTGAAAGATAATACTGCATTTATAATTACTCATCAACAATTAATGATCGTTCATGAGTACGATTGCCAAATAAATATTATTGTCTTGTATAATCAATTGACACAATTAAATGATAAATGTTAGTCAGATCCATTGCAAATAGATTATGCTGATTCATTGTTTGATAGAATCGATGTGTGAATTCGTAATACAAAATAAATACTTATATGTGTTACACTGAAACATACGAAATCGATCAATTTTTAATGAGCAATAGAGTTGTAACTCAGCATTGTTCAGAAACAGGGAGAATATGGATGTGGATAGGAATGAAGAGAAGATTAGGCATACAGGCAAATTATTTGGATTGTTTTTGCCTAAATGAAGAAAAAATGTTTTATTTCTACTGAACCATATGACATAATATTTTTCTGCCGGTAGGAAGTGGCAGTAGAGAGAGAGAATGTCAAAAGACGGATTTCAATCAATTTCTAAAGATAGACATCTTTCTATGTTTGTGCCACTACAGTTTCTTGATAAAGTTCATAATCAATAAGATAAGTTTGAAATATTGAAATTCTCTTATCGGGTTTGAGTGCATGCCTATAGATAACTACCACCCACACCAATATACATTCATTGACCTTGTAATAGACGTCATATTTACCTAGATTTTTTTGCGTGCTTGACTTATTGATGATTATCATACCTGTACTCAAGTATTCGTGCTCATCGTTCAAGTTTCCAAGGAAGCGTCATATTCTACGCTCCCCTGATGAGTATTGTTCTTAGTTCATACTCTAAAAAAAAGTTCATCGTTCTATTATTATTCAAAGAAATAAGGGCATGGTCATCTTTGGATTCAATACCCTCACAATCAAAAGATTGATACTTTCTAGGTTTCAACGACAATACATTGTTTCTTGACAAACAACTTCACTATTATTATAGGAATCGTATCTATTCATATAGAAGCAATAAGTTCGTATGGTACTTTGATTTCAGTTATTGGCAAAACATCAATAACGGCTTCTTTACTTGTATGGCAGATTCATTTAGAAAAATCTAGTTCTTCACAAATATTCTTCTTCTTATTTATTTATTTTTTCTTCATATAATAATTTGTATCAAGTGTGTAACAATGATAAATAGAAAAAAAATGTACTACATCATATTAGTATGGTTAATAATGTTAAGGGACTTAAAAATTTTTAGTAAGATCTTTCAGTATAAGTAAAATTGTATTGACTGATTCGTCAAGATACTTAGATATAGTTCGCCAAATATGGCACTGTACATTAGCACTCTTATTGATTTATGAAGACGGATGCTGGTTATTTATGACATTTTAGTAGAGCACTCGTTGTCTACTTCTTGATAACAACTAGATTTCATATAAAAACAAGCTAATCAACAAAAAAAAATCAAGACAGAAAAAGGAAAAATACTATTCTTACTGAGTTTTACAGTTTAATATTAATAATGATAAAATTTAATTTTAATTGAATATCAACCAATACAAGTCCGAACTTCTAACCCAATTGTTTCAATATCAAATTATTATGCCTATAATATGTATTTTTATTAAACAAACAAATCAGTGCTTTTTTCCGAATATTCGAAATATACAAATGACGAAGAAGTGAAATCATATCCTCATTATAATAACAGAAAAAAGAATAAATCATTGTGGATCAGAAGAACTTTATTAATTTTTTACTGATTACTATTGAAAATCGACATTATACAATTAATTTAGGTCAATAACAAGGATTAGGAAGCGAGTAATATTCTTTCTATTAAGAAAGTAAAACAAAGGATTCTATCGTTTAATTAATTATTGAATTGATAATAAATGTTTCTATATGAAATTTCTATTTATAGTCATAATAATAAGGACCCAGCATGATATATATATTTTTTTATTTTATAACTTATTTATAACAAAGAACATTCTTTCTTTAGATTCTCATCTAAGAATCTGAATTATCGGAAATATTAAAAAAGAAAAAGTCATGCTTACATGTAAATATGATAAATTGAGGTTTTTGTTTTTTACATCAATCTTCGTCATATATATATATATGAACTTTATATTTTTTTCTGATATTTGAGATTCTTATTAATGAGAAAACAGAATCAGTGAAATGCTAACACAACATGCCAGAAAAAATAAGAAGAAAAAAAAAGTTATCCGGATGATTAAGAAATGAAGACACTTATATTATCTAAACTATGAACATTAATTTTTCTATTGATTAATCAAAATCACTATTCATCGGCTTGATTGACTTCAACGATTGATAAATATAGAAAAAGAAATATATATGTCTTTTTTTCTTTACTAATAAAAAAAAGATTGCTAAAAAAAAAATTGATGATATCTATTAGATAGATTGATATAGGTTTTTTCTGTCATGTTATCTGATTCTCATTTTTTTTTTCTTCTATAATAATCTGATTAAATATATTGATCAATATTTTTCTTTATGTCAAGTCATATAAACTTTCTATTCTAACAAAAATAATTTCTATCAATTGATAAGTACATTCGAATGAGTTTTCAGGAGTATAAAATCTAGTGCAATCGAACTTTTTCTTTTCTCGGAAATGAAGATGTCTATTCTATTCAATAATATATGTGAAAAAAGATTGTATGCTTTAGTCTCTTTTTTTTTCTATTCCATTCTATATCATATATATATATTTTTTTTTTATAGACGTTGTTATAAAAGATATTGATTAGAAAACAACGAGACAAGTTTCTTATTCTACTTGACATCTTGCTTTTAACTGTGCTTCTTACAATAGACGTCAATAGAATGAGCGGTTTTCTTTCTTCTTTTTTTCTTATATGTTAGTTTTATAGATATTTTTATGAATGTCAGGTTAATATTGAAATTCGCATTGTTTTTTTTTTGCTTTTTGTTTATGATGTTAAGATAATAATAAATAGTTTTCGAGTATATATATCGATTAGTATTTGCTGAAAACGATCATGTTGTTATTATTAATATTGACGCTATGATAATGGTGGTAATAGTAATAATAATCGGCTTTTCATATTGCCTTGGTTTATGTATTATGGCTAAAAGTTGTTTTCTGCAGGGTGTTCGTGAAGAAAAAGAGAGGAGAAAAGGGAGAGAAGTACACAGAGAGCATGTCAACATACACACGTTCTAATGTTAGCAATTACAAGAGAATAGACGAGCGACAAGTCATGCTATGTGTAAGCATTGAGATTGCCATAAGAAAAGTGGTTCTTCATCGAAGTAGCTAACATTCCCTTTTTTTCCCTTTCCTTTTTCCTTGTCTCGTCATTAGTAATATATCTATTGATTTGTTTTGCTTTTTCACTCGATTATATTAATATTCTAGATTCCAGATTGATATTGATCAGCTGATTCTTCATGACACCTAGAAAATTGGATAAGGTAGAAATTTTACTTTAAAGGTTTGTTTTTCTTTTTTACTTTTAATATATCATGACATATATAGAATGAATCGGAACAAATACTCTTATTACTTAATGAAGCACAAAAGTTTGTCGTACATGTTCGTACATCATCTATTATTAATAATACCATTGACATAACAACATTAAATAATAATGAAGGTAAGAGAATAAATGAGAAATCAAGCGAATGTAAATTCTATGTCTTTAATTAATGCTTCCAATCAAGAGGATGACGCATAATATTAGCTTTTTATTTTTTTTAACAATGAAAATGTGCTTTTTCAATAGTTTATTTGTACTTTTTCTTATATATTAATATAAAAAAAAAAGGAACAAAATTTGTCGTTAAATTATCCGTGCATATGAAAAATAGTTTGCTTCTCTTTTGTTACTTTAGCTGATCGACCTGATCCACTTCGACTACCGGAAGTTATAATAGTCATATGTGTATTGTTATTATGGTGTGGTTCAATATTTATTTTTATTCGTCATTCACAATTATTACGTATTCGTCATCGTGATTTACCGTATCGTTTGTCTATGAAAGCACCAATGAATTTAAATCATATAACTGTTGTTCATCGTACAAGTGATATGGTTATTCATTCGAAACCACGTCGTATATCAGGTCTTGGTACAGCATCACCAATATATAGTCATAGAGCAAATAAATATAAAAATCTCGAAACAATTTCATCAAATTCATATTTATCTCCAAAAGAACACCATTCACATTCATTTAGTTCAAATGGTTCAATAACAAAATATTCACGTCATGGTGAAAAACTTCTTGATCCGCGTTTGATATCATCTTCTGTAAGAAGAAGTTTACTTGATTTACATCATAAAAGTATGGAAAATCTACATGCGATAAGATATAGTATGTCTTATTCAACAAATGACGTTTCAAGACATAATCAAAATGATGATCAACGTATAAAGTTTGACGAACGAGCTGTACAAGAATCACCTGTATAATTTGTTTTTTTTCTTCTCTTTTTATAAATACGATCCATAGATTTATGGTTTATCTGTTGTATAAATTTTGTTTGAAATATTTAAATTGAAATTTTAAAACAAGAATATTCTCTAAAGCAATAGGAAATTATAAATATGATGAAGTTATTATTGTTGTCAATTAGAAGATTTGTATTTCGAAATTATTATTGTTCTATGACAACAAGCAGAAGATAACAGTTTTGCTTTTATCACATGATATGAAGCACAACACAAAAAACAACACATCAGAAGGAAATTACTTCGACGTGTCTATATTAGTCTCTACTATTATATTGGCTTTTTCTTCCGTTACGCGGACATGACAGATGTTATTTACAAAATATTTTTTCCAGAAAGAGATGCAGTATCAATCGATATATATGTCTATATTTTGAATTCATGCTAGGAGAATTACATCGTTTTGACATTACAAACGTTCTAAACATATTTCTTTCATAGTTTTCTTTGTTCTAAGGTTGAAATACTTTAATGCTCTATTGAGCGTACTGAGTTCATAAATATCTTGCGATTAGTATGTCACAGAAACCTTAGAGTAATTTATGAATTCTTAGTACTTGACTAGAAAATGCTTCTAAATGTTTGATGTACTGACTTGCTCAAAATTTTTTTCTATAGAATGCTAGAAAAACTGATTGTGTGCTTGGTAAGTATCCATATAGTGATATAATTCTCAGCAGGACACTCAATCAAGTTCCTGTGGCATACTGATAACAAGGTATCCTGCTGATAACTGACTCAATACAAAGATACATTAACTTTAGTACATTCACTGAAGCTGTAATATCAAAAGTACAGATGAGTCTTTGTGAGTTTTCTTCTTTTATGCAAGCAGATCGAAATTAAAATAATAATGTCATTGTTCATATGACGATTTCATTTTCAATATAGCGAAGAAAACAACTTTTCGAATAAAAAATGTCGAATAGTTCTATTTGTTTTATATGTTTATTAGTCTATGAAGAATTTATTTTGAAAAATCAAAACGAAGGCGATTCATTCGATGTATTTGCGTGTTATGCATGTCTTTTGATGATTGTCTCGTACTTTCAGTATTGAACAGTAAATATTTTTCTGTACTATAATCATAATGTTTCATAGAATTATTCTATCATATTGTTCTTACAATCATAGAGATGTAAAATGAGAAAAAACTAAGAAATTTAAATTAATTAATTGTTTGTTTGTTTAGAGATCTTTCTTATTGTCAAATAGACCTATTCATCATTATATTAACAAATAACATGCAACGTTCAATAATTTAGAAAGTTTCTTAATTAAACAAGACTATTTTGACTATCATTGATTGATTTTTATTTCCAAAAGACCATGTTTTAAAATTTTGATTTGCTTATCACAACAAAATAAAATTGATCTAAAAAATATTCGAAATTATTGTAAACAAAAATTTATCAATTCGATTGGTAATAGAGTTTCTTGAAAAAAAAATTTTCTATTCTTTATCAGTCACTTATTAATTCATAAATTGAACTAATTAGACTTGAAACTTGAATTTACTGTGGAAGAGAAGTTTGATTGAGTTTTCCGTTAAATCCAAAATCATCTAATTATTTTGCTTTTATATTAATTTGCCATTTAAGCATATTATCTCGTAATGATCTCATATAATCTCACGTTATGAGAACCATATGTTGTTCTCATTAAAGAAGATTGTATTGGTTTCTGCTAAGACATATGCTTATATAGTGTTTACATCTCATATGTACTGATTAAGCCTCGCTATTTTTGAATTTGTCAGGACAAATACTATATGTTGGCCGTAGAATAATAAATAGATTTAGTGTAATTCAGCAAAATACTCAAACTTAGAGAGCAAAGTGTACGTGAGTATTTCCACTGTATCTTCGCTCTCCAGGCCTCAGTGCTGCGCAATAATCGCATATAATGTCTGTCAAATGGAACTCAGTTTTATAGGCTTACGTATTTTTTTTCCGTTATGATTTTTTAATGAACTCAATATTTACTCGCACTAGAAGACCTTCGGATCGTGTATTATGTCTAAGTGTATAAAATTTCAGCTGAAGAGCCTTCTGCTATATCTCATTTATTTTTAGAATTTTTGATTAAAAGGTTTCTTCAAACAAAAAAGTAAAATAATTTGGAAGATTTAGAAAGACATTTTTAGAAATTTAAAAGTTCAGATGCGATATCGATTTTAGTCTTTCAAAATTTTTCAGCTTAAAACACTGACAACTAGGTATATTGGGATGTAAAATACACTAATAAAAGTTGCAATTTTGCAAGAAATTAATTAATTAAAGAGGATTTTCCATTGCTGTCAGTAGTTTACATAATAAATGATTTTATGAAATGAATCTTATTCACGGTTTACTTGTTAGCTACGAACATGGATAAAAAAATTGACTATACCATCTTATTTGTTGCTAAGATTGGTCCCTTTTCTTTCTTAATTATCTTGCTAATATATGTTAGCAAGAGGGTTAAGAAAAATGGAGAAAATAGGAACCATCCTGAGCAACAAATAAGTTAGTTTGACCAATTTTTTTATACATGTTCTTGGTTAACAAGAAAATCATGAATAAAGATCATGTCATCGTAAGTTACGTATTCTATTGATTTATCTCACAACATAGACTCGGATCATTCAGAAATACTGAAAAAACCAGAGTACATTATTACTCGAGTAATATCCGTAGAATTTTGACAGAATTCTATTTATCACCGAATTCATATAGGATGAAGATTTCGCATGTTAAAGAAGTTTATCAGTATTGTATTGTTATGTTTTGAAATTTTGAACAAAATTTTCTTTCATCAAAAACAAAGTGTATGGAACAAGCAATATTACACAAATTATAAATTATGATCAGAATTTCAATTCTGATAAGGGACAGAATGACACATAATCATTGTTAGTTAGAAATGACTTTACAACAACCGAAATTAAGCAAAAAAAAAATTTTTAAAATACATCAGAATTTTGTCCACATTTTGTTTTCTGCGTCAGAAGGACAATAATATTATATACAATTGTTACCAAAGAAAAATTCTAGTAAAAGTTCATAAGAAAATAAAAACTTCGTTCAGATGAAAATAAATTTTCGATGAAATCCCTCGATTTATTTCTTTTGAAAACAAAAATCTACTAAGACTTCAAACGAAGCAGAAAAATCTATACGAAATTCTACAGTTGCTCGAAGAAAATAAGAATTAGCAAATATAAAATTCTATACTTGCTAGTAGAATACAATATACGAAAAGAACTTTCATTTAACATACTTCTTCTACTCATGAATAAAATAGAGCTCATCTAAGTACTGAAGCACTCTTATTCTCGTTCCAAATAACAAATCTCTTAAGAGTTGTAAAAGAAAATTGATCGCACTATGACAGAATATTGTAGTTATTCAGAGAATATAAAATATTTATCATTAATAATTT